ACGAGAGACGAGAGAGAGGGGGGGGAGGGATAGAGAGAGGGAGAGAGGGACTGAGAGGAGAGAGAGGGAGGAGAGAGAGAGAGAGAGTGAGAGAGAGAAGAGAGAGTAGAGAGAGAGAGAGAGGGGAGAAGAGAGGGAGAGAGAGGGAGATAGAGGGAGAGAGAGGGAGAGAGGGAGAGAGAGGGAGAGAGAGGGAGGAGAGTTTGGAGAGAGAGGGAGAAGAGAGGGGGAGAGAGAGGGAGGAGAGAGGGAGAGAGAGGAGAGAGAGGGAGCGAGAGGGACGAGGAGAGGGAGAGAGAGGGAGAGAGAGGGGAGAGAGGAGAGAGAGGGAGAGAGAGAGCAGAGAGAGAGAGAGAGAGAGAGAGAGAGAGGACGACGAGAGGAGAAGTAGCGTGACGATGAGAGAGAGAGAGAAGAGAGAGAGAGAGTGAAGTGAGTGATCGAGTAGGGGGAGGTGAAGGGAGCGAGGGAAGAAAAAAGTAGGGAGCCGTGAGGGTCTGTTGGGGGTCTGTTGGGTGGGGCGGTCAGATTCCCAGGATCAGCTGTGTGTATCGCCTGATGTGGTGTCTGGGGTCGAGACCCAGCTACGGCCCGAAGTGTGTATGTGTGTGCGCGCGATTCGTGATGTGTGTGATTGGCACGTCCAGTTGTGTGTGTGTGTGAGTGTCTGTGTAAAAATTTAGCATATTTGTACAAAACAAAAACTTTTCAAAATTACTAACCTAATTTAACAAGCGCAATAATTTAGCCAATCCAATAATATATTTAGATAAGTTTCAATAATTTAATTAATAAACAACACCCAATGAAATATGTTTTTTTAGTTAGGTTGAGTGTGATTTTTTGGGAATTAAAAAAAACTTTATTTTTTTTTTTTTTGGGGCATGCACAAATTTTCCGCATGCTTATTCGCTAGAAGAGCGTTGTATTTAAGCAAAATCGCTTAATATTTTAATCAAGGGAGTGAACTAAGCTCATGGAGGTCAATTATGTTGGTGCAATGGTAGGCAGTTAGGGTTCAATCTGATTACTGAATTCCCGACGTATTACACTGCAGGATACACTTAATTGGTTGGTTAATGGAGCTTGAAGCCTATCAACTAAGCAAGAATTATTAAGACTGGTTATTACCATTTACCGTCAGTCAAAAAAAAAAAATATTTTAAATCCCTCAAGAAGGTATTGAGAAAATTTCGCATATATACACTGAGAGACATGCATCTTTCTGTGTATACGAGTATATATTATGTGACTCTGGCTTTCAGAAACGAAAATAATAGTACAATGCTACGCTGTGTTTGGAGCGAGAGACCAAATGATGCGCAACTTTTTAGTCCAAATTGTCTCGTTTACAGATCAGATAATGTGGGTCGCAGTATATCAGCTCTCATATCCTCCTCAGCACTGGCAGCCTCAGTCGCATAAATCAAAGTGCAAGGAAATCAGTAGCAGAGAGGAAAACTAGGTCCATCTAAACGCCTTATCAAATCGCAAGACACCGCACCCCGCCCCGAGATCTTCTGGAAACCAGCGGAGCTCTTCTTCGTTTCTGAGGCTCTCGACTTTAAAACCGACGAGCAGCATCTCATGGTACTGAGCCCTCATTAGATGCGAGCCTCCAGGCAGACAGAGCAAGAAGGTTCTCTGGTGACTTACAGTGTGCGGGTGCCAGCAAGGATGGCAGTAAGGCCTCTTTACCTTACGTCAACGAGAGTTACGCCAGCGATCTGCAGCACGAGAGGATGTTCATGAGTGTTGGTCGTCTGCAGCACCTCGTCATGCAAGTCATAGAAGAAGAAACTTCAAGTGAGGTAGAGAAGAGATGTTATTTTGTGATAAAATTAAGTGTTTATACCTGCCATAGCTGAAGTACTGTTCACCTATCATCTACAGTCTTTTGTATATATTTTTAGACTTCAGATTATGTCATTGTATTGATAAAGCCACTGGATGGCGAAACGTCTACAGATTAAAGATACCCAGATGTTGCCGTGTGTCTAATTCATCATCTAAAAGTTGAAATAGAGGGTGGAACTATTTTCATGTTAAGTTTGAAATTGATAAGAACCAAAATATGCGGTTTTTAATAGTTTGCTTCAGTGACCTGGCCTTCCTTCTTCTCCCTCCACTTGTAGCTTCTACTGAGATATTCGATCGCTTACAACCACATGGTCACTGGCCCCAAGGGGTCTTTCATATGTGATGTCCTCGATATTGACATATGAAGAGTGGAATACTAAGTCCAGCCTTGCTGGTTCATCCCTATCCTCTCTTTCTTGTAGGTCCCTTCGTGTTGGTACATGAAGAGTTCTCCAGTACCACCTCCATCATTTAGCCTCCAAGTATCTTGGCCCCCATGTGGGTACAAAGTAGTTCTCCCAATCTTTCTCCTTGTGGTTAGAGTCGCCCATGATCAGGAGCTTTGCCCTGCATGCATGAGCTCTTCTGGCCACTTAGAGTGTGTCAACCATCGCTCTATTGCTCTCGCGTACTCTTGCTT